AGTGGGTGCCAGGGAGGAGAGAGGCCAGAGTAACTGCCTGTGGATACAGTTTTCTTTTGGGGGTAATGGAAATTTCTAAAGTAAAAGGGAAAATGTTCATGGCTAGGACTTGTAGAACTGTGCTGCATGGAGTGTTCAGTAGTTGGTGTTTTGGAAGTAGATCACCAGGCATTTCTTCCAAGGCACCTGAGTGGATGCGAACCTCCAGCCTTCCAGTTGGCAGCTGAGTGCGTTCACTGTTTACAATGGTGTGGTTATGAGTCTATAAATCAATATATGAAAAACCACTGACTTATAAGTTTAAACAACTCAGTGAATTTTGTGGTATATAAATTATTTATAAATAAAACTAAAAAAAAAGCCTCTGCTTTAGAAGTTACCACAGTGGGTCACAGGTGAGCCCTGGGAAGTGAAGTGCCTTCTGTGGTCCTTTCCTGAGGGGGGCATTGAAGGAGACAGATCCTAACCCGTCCTCCCTAGCCTGGTGGTCTCAGCCGACAAAAGAGTAAGTAAATACTGGAGTGTTGGATGGAGGAGCAGCCCACAGGGAGTGTGAAGGGAAGGCCGTGGTGGTCCAATAGAGCCTCCCTGAGGGGACTGGGAGGCCAGGCTTTGAGGACGTCTGACGGACAAGTTCCTGGGCCAGGAATGGCAGATGCCAAGGCAGGAATGCTAAAAGACGCCTGGCCTGTTTAAGGAACAGTAAGAAAGCAGACAAGCTTGAACTGGATATGGGAGACTCTGGGGATGTTGGGGAGGTGGGCGGCTGGTGAAGGGGCTCCACTGGAGTCCAGTGGTTGTGACTAGGACAGTACTGGCATCGGCTTCAGCTGACCATGGAGAGAAGTAGGGGGCTATGGGAGGTCAGGAGAGAGGCTGGGGGCCTGCACTGGGGAGTTGGGAGACGGCTGTGGATATGAGATTGGTGCTTGGAGCTTCGTTCAGAGAAGAGGTTGGAGCTCAGCTCTAAACGTGTTGGCTTTGAACTGGCTCTTGACACCCAAGCTTAGAGAGGGGCCTGTTTGGAGTTGAAGGGATGCAGTCTGGAGTTGTTACTTGCAGGGGTTATGGCTTAGGCCCATCATGTGGGATCTGGTCCCTGCCTCACACACAGTTCCCCCCCAGGAACAGAGCTAGAAGTGCTCATGGGGTCTAACACATCTCCCCTCCCCCAGACCTCACTTAGCCCCGTTCCTCCCAGGGGCACCCTGGAGGTCAAAAGGAGCCCATTGACATAAAAATGGCAGCTCGAATTCACCATTGTGTTGGGAAGAAAGACCTAGTGATCTGCTTTTTAAAGATGACAGCCTAGGAAACCCTACGGGGCAGTTCTGTCACACCGGGGTCTGCTAGGAGTTGGAATAGAATGGAGGGCACGAAACTACAGCATCCAGAAGCTGCTGCTATTTCCGTTCAGCCCCAGGGGCCCCCTCTGGTGTTTAGTTTCTGTTTTCCCACCTGAACCCTTACAGGATTCTGCAGGCAGTGATGGGAAAATGAAATTACAAAAGCTCCTGCCAACTCAGAAAGCTTCTTCATGGTGGGAGGGAAGAAAGAAAACCCTTTTCTCATTGAGAAAGGGGTGAACCAGAATGTGATGCGCATGACAAAGAACCCAGTGGGGGGTGGAGCACTAGGAAGTCTCACTCTTTCTGGAAGCCAGGCAGATACAACATGTTCTCAAGAGGACTCAAGTAAGAGGATTTGACAGCGCATTTTATTACACGTTGTTGTTAGCTGCCACAAGTCAGTCTCAGGGTTAGGGAAAACTGCCCCCTCCTGTGCCTTACTGGATTGAATCGCCAGTCTCACCACGCCTTTCTTCCTAGTCCCTCTGAACCTGTTCGGCTTCAAGGTAACACGCAAGCTTCCCGACAGTTGTGTCCACACTTGAAAGTTCATGGGCCAGGGACTGAACCCTGGTCTGCCACATGAAAATCTCGCATTCTACCACTAAGCCACCGTTACCCTCAATCCATCCTGAACTCAGTTGGTAATTGGGGTGGTCATCTCTGTTAGCTGTTTTTATCCAAATGAAAAGATTCTCTGGGTGTCTCAAAAGGTAAAACGCTCAACCACTCACTGAACGATTGGAGATGCAAACCCGTCCAGAATCTCCTTGGATTCTGGCAATCTGCCTCCAAAAAGTCACAGCCTTGAAAACTCATTAGGGGCACAGTTTTATTCAGCACACCCAGGGTCACCGGAAACCGAAATCAACTCTATGGCGGCTGGTTTGGTTTTGGTAACTTGGCACCAGGCTTCTGTCAGGTTTCCTCTGTTGAAAACCTGCCATTGTACCCCAGGTAGAATGAATCTACATTCTAACAAAATCTCTGCTTCAATGGGGGCACAGTTTGGAAGCTCTGGCTCCTCCTGGCCCCGGAATCCTGGGGAGATACATTGGCTTCCTGGTTACATTTCTGGGCCAATGACTCCCCGGTCCTTAAGAAGGACATTTCTGGGTTGTAAAGAGGGCAAGAGCTTATTTACCTTTTCAGAAGATGTGCCTCCGTCTCAAAGGGGCCGAGAAAGAATGTACAGTGACAGGTTTCGAAAGAACAAAAGAATGAAAGAAAACAACAGAGGGCATTCTCTCTTTTGCCCAGGAAAAATGAAAGGCTTTTCTCTTCTGTTTCTGTTTATTTGCCCTCACAGCCCATCTGCACTGCATGTGTCCATCAAAGCAAGGAAACACATAAAGTTGCATTAAGTCAACAAGGGGGTCTCCTTGGAGAGACAGAAGGAGCCAGCGTGACTGGAAATAAGAGTTAGGGAACAGCCATAGGGCACGAGCCGGGGATCTGATGGCGGGGCTGGGAGGAGAAGGGGACCTAAGTATGAAGGAAGGAGGGACACGCGACACAGTGGTGAAGTTGCTAACTGAAAAATAGGCGGTTCAAACCCACCCAGCCTCTCTAGGAGAAAAGACCTGCCGGTCTGCTCCCATAAAGATGACAACCTAGGAAATCCCATGAGGCAGTTCTGTTGTCACCTGGGGTCCTCCTGAGTCCGAATCGACTCAGTGGTACACAAGAACAACATACACAGTGTGTCGTCCAGCATGTAAAATCTGAGCACTCCTCATCCACTTCCCCTGCCTTCAACATGGCAGAGCTGGTCTCCAGCATCTTCATGCACTCGGCTTCCGTGTGCCAGCTGGATCCGTGCCAGAGCCCAGGGGTTCAGCAGGGATTCAGGGTGAGCAATCCCGGCAAGGTACCTGCCTGCTGGAGCTGATTTCAGATGATAGGGGAAGGGGTTTGAGGCAGAGAGTGGCAGTAGCTAGGGTGATCCACAAGGACTTCTTGGAGGAGGTGGCATGTGCATTTCCATCTGAAATGTGTAGAGGTGGCCTTGGGGACAGCCAGGACCCAGCGGGAATGTCTGGAAGAGTAAAGCCAGTGTGGGCGGGGAGGTAAGCCGGGGCTCATGTTGGAATCCCCTGAGGAACTCGGAACAAAGCCCAGTGGTCTGGCCTCACCACAGCTGTCCAGTCAGAAGCTTATCACCTGGACACTGGTGCAAACGCTCCAGGTTTTTGTTTCTCAGCATGACCCTCCGGCCAGCAGCAGTGGGGACCATCTGGGAGCTCCTTGAAATGGAGAACCTCATCATTCATCAGTGCTCAGAGTCAGGGCTGAGAGAGCCCCTCCAGCCCAGGGTGGGCGTACGTAGGTAGCCTGGCTTCAGGCCCTGTGTTCTGTCATCTTCCTCCTGAGGAGTCCTGGCCCTGCTGCTGCCCATCTCCAAAGCTCTGAAGTATGGCTCAGCTGCGGCACATCCTGAAAATAGACGTGACCCAGAGAGACGTGTCCCAAGGACCATGGAGAGAGATGATATGGTCTTTTGATGAAAGAGAAAGTGTATTGACAAGGGCTGATTTTTGGCTTTGTAATCCAAGTGTTGGGTTTTCCCCTCCCTGGTCTTCTAGGCCTGTTGTTGTTAGGTGCCATCGAGCTGGTCCAACTGAGGTACCACAGGACAGAACACTGCCCGGTACCACACACCATCCTCACTACCATTGTGTTTGAGCTCTGTTGATGCAACCCATAAACCTTAACTGACACATGGGAACCTTTTTTGCTGTGTAGCTTGTTCACTGAAAACACAATTATTTTTTAATGTTAACAAACTCCACTTGCAATTCAATGTTTTGTACAAAATTCCATTGTATTGTCAGGGATCAGGTGAAATCTTGATTTGGGAATGTAAATATACACCATTGATTTTTCTGTACTTTATGCCCCTGGGTTATTGTGGTTGGTTGCTAACTGAAAAGTTGGAGGTTCAAGTCTACCCAGAGGGTCCTTGGGAGAAAGGCTGGTGATCTGTTTTCAAAAAAAATCACTGTCTGGTGCAGCTCAACTCTGACACACGTGGGGTCACCATGAGTCATTCAACTGGACAGCAGCGGCTTTGGGGTTTTTGTTTTTGTCCTTTCTTTGCTGAGTAGGGAGTCTTGGTGTGGCACTGTGGTTTAATGCACTGGACTGCAAAGTCGGTTTGAACCACAGGGTTGGTGGCTCAAGCTCACCAGCTGCTTCTCGGAAATCCTGTACAGGGTCGCTGTGGGTCAGAAACGATTCGACGGCACTTCACAACAACGATGCAGAGTAGGAGCCCTGCTGATACTGTGGTTTAGCGCTCAGCTGCTCACAGAAAGGTCAATGGTATGAACCCGCCGTTGGCTCTTTAGGAGGAAGCTGGGGCAGTGTGCTTCCATCATGATGACAGCCTTGAGACCCGGGGGAGGGCAGTTCTCCACTGTCCACCAGACTCGTTCTGAGTCAGAATGGACTGTGTGGAGTGGGTTGGGTTTGGGTTAGTATCACAGCGTCCAGCCTTGGTTGCATGTCCCCATCGGAGTGTGAATGAGGTAAACTGATCTCTCATTGGGTAGGATAGCAAGGATAATGAGGCACGAATAAAAACGGGTGATTAGCAGGGCTGGATCCTAGCTTCTGCCCCAATGTTTGCCCTTCTTCATTTGCGCTCAGGACCCCAGCAAAGCCACAGAGAGATCAGGAGACGACGTCTGCAGCACTCAAGAAGCAAAGCCAAGCAAGACACAGCAACTGAGGAAAGTCTTTAAAGAATATGGGGCCGTGGGTGTGTCCTTGCACATTGGAGTCTCCTTAGTCTCCTTGGGCATCTTCTACACGGTGGTTTCAAGGTAAGTCAGTGCCGTCAAGTCGGTTCTGGCTCTTAGTGACCCCGTAGAGGGTTTCCGAGGAGCACATGGTAAGTCAGCCTTACTGTTCAAATGACCTTTCAATCCAGTGCTTATCTTACAGCGCCACACCAGGATTCAACACTGGTTTTTAATCATGTGTTGGTGGTTATGTGCCGTGGAGTTGGTTCCGACTCATAACAACCCTATATGTTTCCGAGGCTGTGAACCTTTACAGGAGCAGAAAGCCTCATCTTTCTCCTGTGGAACAGCTGGTAGTTTCGAACTGCTGACCTTGAGGTTTGCAGCCTGATTCGTAACCATTACACTACCAGAGCTCCTTTTTTTAAAATCATAGTTTAGCTTAATTAAGCTAATTAGTAAAGTGTCTGCCTGCCGCGTTGCACCGTTTTAAAGACCTATATAGGATCCAGTTGATCCAGGTATAATTCAGACTCCCTGAATATCAAAAAGAATCCCTACTGGGCCACAGGCCAAGCACTCGGCTGCTAACCGGAAAGTCGGCAGTTCAAACCCACCAGCTGCTCTGAGGGAGACCCATGGAGCTGTGTCTTCTGTGAAGATAACAGCCGTGGCAGCTCTATGGGGACCAATCTGTGACGCCTGTGCTTTAGGGGCACTGGGTTTTTGAGGCTAAAAACAGCCCCTGGAAGGACTGGATGGGAATCTGAAGGGTTGGGTTTGGGTTAGTATCACCGAGTCCAGCCTTTGAGTGTACTGGTGTCATCGAAGTGTGAACGAGTGAGTTTATGTCAACCGTGGGAAAACAATTTGGAAAAGGAGGATGAGAATGATGACACAGCTTGAAGAACGTGACCAGTGTCATTGAATTCTACGTGTAGAAGCAGTCAAATCGGTGTGTGTTCTGCTGTGTATATTCTCAGCGATATACAAATGAAGGGTAATAAATCAATGTTAAGGACCTCTGGTAGCATAGTGGTTATGAATTGAGCTGCTATCCTCACGGTCAGCAGTTCGAAACTACCAGCTGTTCTGTGGGAGAAAGATGAGGCTTTCTGCTCCCGTAAAGATTGACAGCCTCGGAAACCCTGTTGTACAGGGTCGCTGTGAGTCAGAACCGCACATAACAAAAAATCAATATTGGTTTTTTATCTATCACATAAGATTTTCTGTGAATAATAACTTTTTTTCCTGAAACTCTGTATGAACCTGGCTACTTTCAACACACTTTTAAACATTACAAAAGGTTTTTAAACAAACCTTGACATTGAACCAACTCCCTCGTCCAGCCCCTTGCTGTGACCATCGTTTTCTCGTCTCTTTCCCTACAGTGGTGTGGACATGTCTGCTCTCCTGCTGAAACTCGGGTTTAGAGAGTCACTGGTGCAGTCAAAAATGGCAGCAGGAACGAGTACCTTCGTGGTGGCCTACGCGATCCACAAGCTGTTCGCGCCGGTGAGGATCAGCATCACCTTGGCATCTGTTCCCCTGGTGGTCAGATATTTCCGGAAAGTGGGATATTTTAAACCTCCGGCTGGGAAGCCGTGAGGCACTTGGCCATTGTAGGCACTGAGAACCCATTTCTTAGAAACTCCACCTGTTGGACTGGTTTTCGAGTCATGGGGCTGTTTTACAGGGCGGGGTGAACTATGTTCTCATGCGTAAGGTTTACCTTTGCCAGCAAATTTTAGACTTCTGAATTTAACTCCTTTTTGGCTTTTGTGAATGTGCTTCATCGTGGGTTGGTTTGTATCCCTAGTCTAAAACATTCATCACATATCAGAAGTGAATGATGGCAAACAAAATTGTTAGCTGACAAAGAAACATCCTTCCAGAGGGTCATCACTGAGGGTCTGAGTGCAAAACCGGGAGGTTCCTGTCTGTGTCCTTTAGGAGCAGCAGTTAATGAAGCTTGTTTTTAACATTCCCCCCCTCTCTGTGGTCAGACTGGCCCAGCTCTAATATTCAACGCAATGACACTAACAGTGAATGAAGCCGGACCTATGATTTACCACAATCAGGGTTTAAATCAGCACCCAGCCCTTGGCCTTTGATGATGTTTGCTTTGGGGAAAGAAAACTAAATACATCTGGTGTGTTTCAAAGTTTCCAAAACACCTTCAAATCAGGACCGGGGCCGGGGGTGACACCCTGGGTCCTACTTCGGTGGTTCTTCTAACATGAGATTTCATTCAAGTAGATCAAGGCCATTTGTTTTCAATTTTGGCAAAACCAAGAAACCGCCAAGTAAAAGGAATCTGAGTGGTGCAATGGTTAAGTACTTCTCACTGAAAGTTCCGGCAGTTCGAAGCTACCCCAGTTCCTTATGAGAAAAGACTTGGCAGGCTGCTTCTGTAAAAATCAGCCTTGGAAACCCTATGGGCAGGTCTAACAAAAGCCGCTGAGTCAGAACCAACTCAACAGCAGTGAGTCTACATGAAATGACATCACTGGGCCCCTGCCACCCACCCACATCCATGACAATTTGGAAGCCAGTACATGAATAGCCGAGACAATCAACCTAACCCTTTGTGTATCAAACTTAAGACTTTCCAGAATGACCATCACAATGTTTTTACACTGTATTACTTGTCTGTATGTACATATGGAGTCCTGGTGTGGCACTGTGTACTGAACTGCAAAGTCAGCGGTTCAAGCTCATCAGTTGCTCCTTGGAAACCCTATACAGGGTCACTGAGTCAGAACCAACTCAACGGCACTTAATCATCTATATCTATTTTGACTTAAAACTGTTAAAAACAAAAAGTTGGTATTATGCCCTAAAATTGTTAAAGTGCCATCGAGTTGGTTTAAACTTACAGTGACCCTATAGGTTCCCAAGGAACAGCTAGCTGGTGGGTTTGAACTATCATCCTTGTGGTTAGTAGGCCAGTGCGTATCCTACACACCAGGACGCCAATAAGGATTTTAGTATCACTTTTTTATAAATGGAAGGAGGTCTGGTGGCACAGTGGTTTAGCTTTTGGCTATAGACTGAATCGTCTGTGGTTCTAACCCACCAGCCGCACCATGGGAGAAAGGTGGGGCAGGCTGCTTACAAGAGGACAGCCTTTTTAAAGTGAAATGGTTGTATTTTTCCTTCAAAGCAATCGATTCTGACTCATAGCAACTGCTCATAGGAATTCCAAGGACTCCTGGTGTGGCGTTGTGGGTCAGCACTGGACAACGAACCACAAGGTCAGCAGTTCAGACCCACCAGCTGCTCCTCGAAAATCTATACAGGGTCGCTGTGAGTCGGAACCGACTCAGCGTCACTTAAGTCTTTACGGAGCAGACTACGACATCTTCCTCCCATGGAGGGCTGGAACTGCCAACCTTTTGGGCATCTCAGTGCTTAAACTCTGTGCCACAAGCACTCCTTGCCCTCAAGTCCCTCACATGGGCCGGAGCTTTGATCCCCATCTTGTGGTGTTTGAACAGTAACTTTGCGATCCTAGTCCCTCTCTGCCCTAGTTGTGCCTCTGCAAAAAAAGCGATCCAGTTCAGGTCTCAGGGCTTCCTCCCTGACCTCCCTGTGTTAGGGGTCATGGGAGTGGACTGAAAGGCAAGCAATAAACAATTCTCACACCAAATAGCCATACCCCACTTCCTAGGCCCTGCCCAGCCTCCATGGCCAGTGCTCAACCCAGAACAGGACTGGGGCAGGGGAAGGAGGGCTCACCAGCAAGATGTCTAAACTCCTTGTTTGTATGGAACTAGGAACACTGGATATGTTTTTTAAAGGTAAGCCATTGTTCAGCTGGGTAATTTTTTTGTTTTCTTTTTTAACCTGACAATGCAACTGAAATTCTGAAACACAAATAAAACCTTTCTAAAGTCTACGGAGAAGTTTTTCATTCCTGAGGACAGATAAGTCATTGCTGTTAAAGCAGGACCCTGACTGGTGTATTAATGTGCACATACAATTAGCCGTGTGCTCTGCTTGCGGGTGTGGGGAGATGTCACTGTTTAGCTGTGCTCACTGGTGAAATTGGCCTTATCACTTAGTAACACTAACTGGGGCAGATAGTCTAAGAACTACTACTTGGGGAAGGTCACAATTGATTTAGCTCGACTTCTACAGGAACCGAAATCCCTCTTGTAGGGTTGGTAACTGGACTCCTTTGTCACACACCAGCATGGATATTTATGTTGTTAAGTGCCCACAGAATCGGTTCCAACCCATAGCGACCCTGTGTACAAGGAGTGTTTGGTGAGCTTGAACCACCAACATTGCAGTTGAAACCAACTTTGCAGTGCTGCACAATAACCCACAGCACCACACCAGGACTCCAGTTTTCGTTGGCCACTTTTATATTAGACGTGGCTCTGGTTTTAACGTCTTCCACTAGAAGTCAGCCGTAAGAGCTCATGGGTGGACTCCTGTGAATCCCAGAACCCCAGCTTTCTCTTCCTCATTGGCTTCCTCTCCACATCCTAGTTAACCACATGAAGCTGTTGCCAGGTCAAGGCCACGTGGCATCATGAGATGTACCTTTCTGAATGGAAGCATGTTGACCATGAGGCAGACCAAACAGAGCCCGTCCCCTCTCAGCACATGCTCATTTCATGGTCAGTAGGGAGCAGGTGGGGAACAGACTGATAACATTTTATTTACATATTTATTTTTTACAGTGTGCACACATTCCATGACTGCAATTTTAAAACCAGCCCTTAACAATGAGAAACGATGCTGAGACATGTGACCTCGTGGGTGTCCCGAGATGGGGGTGGAGCACATGTTCTTCCATCAGCACCTCACTGGATGAGGGGTGACAAGGACTGTAAACCCAAACCAGCTGGACATACAGGTCAGGCTGAAGGGGATGCCACTGAGTGAAACTCCAAGTCTCCAGCGAAGTCTTACCAGGTGTGGTCACCCATAGCTCACACACACACACTTGGGCACTCGGTGATCACTACACAGCCCTTCCTTGAGCTGAGGGGGTCAGGGGAAGGCTCCCTGCCCCTGACCAGTCTTCCTGAGGAAGCAGCAGGGCCTCCTGCTCACTGCAGCGGGGCTTCCATGCTAAGGCCCGCTCCGTGAAGCCCTTTCTGTAGTGGAGGAAGGCAGGCAGTCCACAGTAGATGAAGTGTCAGTAGCACCCTCCTGCTCCCTGGCTCAGAACCCCACACACACCCCCCATGAGCATGAGTCCTATTGGCTGGCTGGCTCTTTGTTCTGGTTGCTTGGTGGTTTTGAGGAGTTGGCGGTAGTCCAGGGGTGCTCAATGATCTCCTTTAGCCCCAGCCTGTGGTTGGGATTGTGCTTCAACAGTTTAGAGATGAGGTCCCGGGCTCCCAGCGTAACCAAGTCAGGGAACGCAAACTCAACCTGGAGTAAGATCAGGTAGAGGTCTGAGAGGTGCTTGGATCTGACTAGCCAGCCCCCAGCCCAAGCTAGTGAGGGAATCTTACCCGGGAAATTCTGTTGTAGGTCTCCTGGTATGTGCTTGCCTCAAAGGGAGGTTTCCCAACGAGGAATTCGTAGCAGAGGACACCGAGGCTCCAGAGGTCCACCTTCTCATCATGCATGCGGCCCTCGATCATCTCGGGAGGCAGGTAGTCCAGGGTACCACACAGAGTGGTCCTCCTGGAAGTGGACAAGGGGCTCTGACTACTACAGCCACTAGAAACCAACCACTGGGAAAGGGGCCAGCACTTACTGCGGGCTTTCTCTAGGCCAGAAATCCCCATTTCTTTAGGGTCCTGACCAAAAGGAGGAGAAAATGCGTGATAGAATTTCAAGTTCTTGAGGAATCAAGCTTCCTGGAATCATTGAAGCTGGATGAACCCCAAACTACTGGCCTGAGACCTTTAAAAACTATAAACCAAAAATATCCCTTGAAGCCTTCTTGATACCAAACACTATTAGGAGCCCTGGTATGGCACTGTAGCATAAGCACTGGACTGCTAATTGCAAGGTCGGCGGTTAAAACCCATTAGCTGCTGCTCCAAAACTCTATCCCCTAGGTCAGGTTCCCTGCTGAATTAGGGAAGAATGCCTATCCTGAGCATGGTGCACTTACACAGAGCTATCTCTGTAGTATCAAACTGACAGCGTGCACATGGAGGCTCAGAGTTGGTGAGTTTCTGTGAATGGGGGAAGAACAATTCAGAGGCTGATGAGGCCGATAAGGCCTGCATGCCTCGAAAAATGCAGTCGTCAATGTCAGAAGTGTACAAATTATTGAGCTGGAGTATGTTTTGCTGTGTATATTTTCAACAATGCAAGTTTTAAAAAATAACTCCCCCTTTCTCGATAGAGATTGAGGGAGTGTATAAGACCACACAACTAGCAAAGTCTAGAACCAAATCTGCCCAACTCCAGAACCTCCCCGAATGAAAAGACTGGGTAGGGTTATGAAAATAAGGTGCTTGTATCCCACCAAGAATGTTGGATACTTTATTAATAATACAAGTAAGGTACAGGCACCTTTGTGTGTATATGGGGGCCTGGGGGCCGTGTTAGGTGCCGACTCAGGAACTCTGCACAACAGACCAGAACACCGCCAGGTCCTGCACAACCCTCACAACCTGGATCTTGGAGCCCACTGTTACAGCCATGGTGTCAGCCCATCATCTCACGGAGGATGTAGGAAGGGTCTTCCTCTTTAGTTTTTTGATGACTTTCTACCAAGCCTGATGCCCCTTTCCAGGAACTGGTCTCTCCTCAGAACGTGTCCAAATTACATGAGACAAAGTCTCCTTATTCTCGGTTCAAAGCAGCATTCTGTCTGCACTTTTTCCAAGACAGATTTGTGGGGGTAGGATTGCCCGAGTAAGGTGTCCAGACAAGATGAGCCATCCGAGAGGCAGAAAGGGGAAACCTACCACCAAGAAGAACCAAGAGTGGCCCCTGTCTTTTGGACTCAGAATCCCTGTGCTGAGATCCTTCTACCCCCAGAAAGAAAGACAGCTGTTAACACCAGAAACTGCACAGGAGGGTGACAAGTGAGGGTAGAGCAGTGCAGTGGCCTTCCTGGCCCATGGAACAAGACAGAGTGGGCATGCCGACCACAGAGCAACAACGGAGTACTTGGGAAAAGACTTCCTGGTAGAGGAGGGTGCCTCCAGGCACTTGCTGAACATGGGCCAGAGAAGGCTGCACACATCACTGAGCAGCTGTGAGAAGAACTGTGGCCCACATCACACCTGACCTGGAATTGTATCCTGTGACCTCCCTAACCAACCCCATAATAAGAGGGACTGCTCTTCCACAATCCTTTGTGCTCCCCCTTTCCAACCTGGTCACATCGCTATGGCTCCCGCATAGGAGGGTGATGAGAAGAAAGGCCGTTCTGCTATCAATGAAGTGGTGACCCGAGAGTGCATAATCAACATTCACAAGCACATCCGTGGAGCAGTCTTCCAGAAGCGTGCCCCTTGAGCACTCAAGATTTGGAAATTTGTCACGAAGAAGATGGGAAAAGCAGATGTGCGCACTGACGCCAGGCTCAGAGCTGTCTGGGACAAAGGCACGAGGGACATCCCGTACCATATCCGGGTGCACTTGTCCAGAAAACGCAAGACGAAGATTCACCAAACAAGCTCTGGACACTGGTGACCTATGTGCCTGTCACCACGTTCAAAAACCTACAGTCAATGTGGATGAAATCTTAAATTTAGGATCAAATAAATTTATAAATCTGCCTCAAAAAACTAAAGAAGTACTGTGAGTTCTGTGTAACTGCTGGAGTCCTGGTGTGGTGCTGCAGGGTCAGCACTGGACTGCTAACTACAGGGTCAGCGGTTCAAGTCCACCAGCCGCTCCTTGGAAACCCTACATAGTGTCACTATGAGTCAGAACTCATAGACCCGAGCAGAGGCGTAGAAAGTGCTGTGGGACCCACCAGCACTGTGTCTAGAGGAGCGGGGCAGGGAAACAGAAAGCTACTTCCACCCAGAATCTTTCAGCCAGGAAACATGATCTTCCAGCAGCAGTTTGCCTTTGGATGAGCCTTTCCCAAGAATATATGTGGAAAGGGGTGACCACCTGAGGCTAGGAGAGGACTTGGAAGTGGGGAGGCAGAGCACTGAAGTGACAGATCCACTGGCACCGCTGACCTGTCTCTGGGGGTCAGGGATGAGAAGGGGGGTGGCAGAGAGGGGCCAGGCCTGACGTGCAGGTTGTGTGGGTTTCTGGGCCTACAGGTGGTACCCACTGACCAAGCCCATGGAGTCAGGGATGAGAAAGAAAGGGCTGGTTAGCCTGGAGTGCCTACACAAGGCAGAAACCAGGCCAAGAGGATGAAGGCCACAAAGAGGCCCACCTGCAGGCAAAGCTGAGAAGAGCCTGTCCTGATGGAAGAATCGTATCCCGAGGCATTCCTGACCCTGAACTGTAACCTGTAACTTCTCTAACAAACCCCATGACCTGGTGAGCAAGGTCTACGTTCTGTGAAGGTAGCTTGTTGTTGCTGTTAAGTGCCATTGAGTCGGTTCCGCCTCACAGTGACCCCACGCACAACAGAAGGAAACACGTGCCATGCTCCCAGTCACTGCTGAGCGATCTGACAGTTGTTCCTCCGCGATTCCAGAGGAATTTACAAAAGTTGTCGTCCTCTCCTTCCTAGTCTCAGTCCAGAAGCTCAGCTGAAAGCCGTCCACCATGGGTGACCCTGCCGGGACTGAAATTACCCATGGCACAGCTTCCAGCCTCACAGCAACACACAAGGCCCCACAGTAGTATAGACTGACAGGCGAGTGTTGGGTCGAGCCCAGCGGAGAGAGGTAGTGTGGTGGGATGGGTGGCTGGCGGGGAGATGGGCCTGACCTCTGCCTGAGAGCACGCAGCCCTGGCCTGTTGACACTGATGCTAACTCTCCTGCCCTGTGGAGCCAGAGGAGGTCTGTTGGCCCCACCATCACGCCACCATTACAGTGTACAGAAACAGCACCACACAAAGCTCTGTAAATACAGCCAGGAGTTTGGTGTTTGTTTTTATCTGTGTGAGAAGACGCTAACAGCCAGGTGGTGACACTAAGGATAAGAAACTACAAACTGTTCCATGAGGAAAATTCTAGGTTTGGGGTTCAGAGATTCACAGTGACCACTGATGTGACCCATTCCTTACTTGGTTCCCCTCTAAAACAACAGCGAGGAAATACATTATGTGGACAACTAAAGAAATGTAAATAAGGACCACCAGATATCAGATAGTTGTTGTTAGGTGCCTTCGAGTCGGTACTGACTCATAGCGACCTTATGCACAGCAGAAGGAAACACTGCCTGATCCGGGGCCGACCTCACTACTGTTGCCACACTTGAGTCCATCGATGCTGCCACTTGGCCAATCCATCTTGTTGGGGGTCTTCCTCTTTTTCTCTGACCCTCCACCTTACCACCAAACATGATATCCTTCTCCAGCGACCAGTCCCACCTGACAATATGTCCAAAGTATGAGAAACGAAGTTTGGCCATCCTGGCCTCCATGGAGCACTCTGGCTGCACTTCTTCAAACACAGATCTATTGGTTCTTTTGGCAGCCCATGGCACTTTCAATATTCTCCTAACACCATAACTCAAAAGCATCAATTCTTCGACAGTCTCCCTTATTCACTGTCCAACTTTCACATGCTAGGAAATGCATTAATTTGTGATTCCATAGGAGAATGTCCATGGTTTTAACACACGTGTACTGAAGCACTTTGAGGTGAAGCCTGGTGAATGCTCCACCAAAAAGCAAAACAGCAAACCCGATGCACCTGACCCATCATGGGACGGAGTGGAGGCCCTGGAGACAGGGCGTTCTCAAAACAATTCACCATCTGATGAATTTCAAGCATCCTAACAAAGGTGGGAGATCCATTGGAGGTGGCGAAGACATCAAAACCGACAGCAAAGACTGTTTCGGTGACTTTCTATCAGTTCTTCCCCAATGCCAGCACTGGGTTCAGCCATGCCTGGCACCCCACAACAGGTATGTGTTCGCCCAGTTAAACTGTGATCTAGGATCAGGAGCTGTTTCTATACACCAAGGAGATGAGGGAGACATGGAATCAAAAGAGTTTCTCTGACAACCGTGCGAAATCATAGGATGATTGTTAACCTTTGGCTGGTGAGCACTGGACACGTGAAGGTCTAGTTTAGCACGGTGACACCGACCATTCTTGGTTGTGTGCCTCACCAGGGGCAATAGCTCACGCTCACGAAGGGCAGCCAGTCCTTCTCAAGGGGACATAAGATTCCAGCTCCTGAGTAGGGGCCTTGCCTGAAGCGGCTACAAGTGGTCCGTGACACAAAGAAAGGGGTTATTCTCTTGTCGTCTGTTTTGGAATAGAAACACCTTTAAAGGAATCTGCTGTTGTTTCCCCAAAATCAATAGACCCTAACCAGGCAATGGGTTTTAAAGTTTAAAGTGCCCCCACTTCACACAAAGGTTCAAAATCCTATTTTAATCCAAAATAAACTTTAAACAGCAGAGAATATTCTGGCTCTTTTTGCTAAATTCCCCTAAGACTGAAATTTGTTTCACAAGCTTGGCTTTTCTGCTTCAGTTCAGAGGAAGGGCTGTTCCTACTGACAACGAGGGCAGGACGTGAATCTGTGAGTGTCGGCAAGCTCCGCTCCGTCCACACCAGTTCTCAGCTTCTCCCTCAAGCTCTAGGTCTCTGCAAGCTGCACTAAGGAGATGGATCTCACTTCTGACGCACATGTCTACCTATAGCCTTAGTTACTCTATAAGGACGTTAAACCTCTGCCTCTCTCCAACACCACGTGTTGTTAAGTGCTGTTGAGTAGGTTCTGACTCACAGGTTTCCAAAGAGCAGCCAGTGGGTTTGAACCACTGCCCTCACAGTTAGATGGTTAGCAATCCAGGGCTTATCCTACAGTGCCATGAATCCCCCAAAATGTTTGCCGAAGGTAGTTTTCAGGGAGACACTTGTTGGCTGTCAGGCTAGATGATGACCAAGCAGGTCTGTGTGATCACTGGCCCCAGCTTAGAAGGGAGACAGGAGTCTCAGAATCCCTACGATGCGGTGAAGGGTCCCCCCCAAGCACTCCCACCTTGCACATGACTCACCTGGAAGATGGGGCATGGACTGACCACCCGAAATCTGCAATCTTCAGCTCACCGGTCGACCCCAGCAGCAGGTTCTCAGGCTTAATGTCTCTGTGGATAACTTTCTTGGAATGACAGTACGACAAGGCATCGGCCAACTGTGTGATATACTACAAAGAGAGGGCAGGGCGGGAGGCCGTGCTTTAGAATTTCTCTAGCGCAGGTTAACATTAGGCATCTCTCTGGAAACCCCTCAGAGATTGTCCACGTTCCGCAGGCTGTAAAGCACACACTTGACAAGTCTATATAAATCACAGAAACCGACTCAAGCGTGCTGAGCATGAGGGCCAGTTACCCAGGTGGAACTCGGCTCACAGAGCTGATGCCCTGAGACAGCGAGGACTGAAAGGGCACTGATGATGATGAGCTGGAGCTACAACCCCATCAGGGCCCAGCAGCAGTGGAGTACAAGGCTGTTCAAAACGATTTACCTATCAGGGAAATTTGTTTCGTGAACACTATTTGTAAAAAGGGCAACTTTTGATTAAGTCAGGCCTACTGAACTCATTGAGCTTGGAGGACTTTCTGATATTACTGCCCTGAAGTATTCTGTAAACCTTGAAACACAACCAGTCCCTTTCAGCTGAACACCACCACACTGATCACAAATCATGACTACCACCTGTAAGTTCTATGCACCTTTAAACACAATCACGTATATGAGACCAAACGACCAAAAACTGCTTTAAAACAAAGATGAGAAGGCAAGGGGGCAGGGAAGCTGGAAAAGAACCACCAGAGAAGAAACAATGACAATGTCCACACTGTGAAGACATGTCTGGTGTCCCTGTGCAGAAACGCTTGAAAAGGAGCGTAAACCCAGTATTTAGGAGAAAAAAAAGGGCAAAACACCAACCAAAAAAAACCCTTGAAACTAACTCTCATTTTTAAAACTAACATGATTCTACAACAAAAGAAAACTTTGAAATGGACAAGAGCAACTCACAAGAGGGCCCAGGAACTTCCAGGGAGGGAGTGGGGAATCCTGGGGAGGGACCACCAGAAGAGGAGAGTGAGAATGGCTACAACTGGAAGGAAGGGTACTGAAATGCACATGCAGAAACCACAGCGCTGGGTACTGTCAACAACACTGTACATTTATGTTTAAAAAGGGAAAAAAAAGCATTTGTCTGAGATTAAGCATTTACTTAAGAATATCAGGGGAAAAAATTAATCCTGAACAAGACAAAAAATAAAAGCATAAAATGAAAAAAAAAAAAAAAAAAAGTTAAGGAGGATTCTAACTTTTTTGCATATGTAATTTATCAGGCAAGTTAGATGCTCACAAGCCTTTCAGTCCTTCGGTTACTTTTGGTTTCATTTAAGAATGGAGTCAACAGTTCCCAACAGACTGACAAATAGACCCAGTGTTTGCTTCCAGATACAGATAAGAATTATCTGCTGAGACTACTCGAAGTATATATTTAACTGGGGTCCTGGTACAGTGCTGTGGGATAATGCACTAGATGGCCAAGTCAGTTTAAAGGCATGCTGGGCGGTTGAAACTCACCAGCTGCTCTTCAGTAACATCACACATACACATGGTTGCTGTGAGTCGGAACAAAATTTTGAGGAGTTTGTTTTCCCAAGTCATTGGAACAGGACTGTCTGTTGTTGGTAAGTGTCTGCTTAGAGTATCATCACCTCTGCAATCACACTTTCAAAACGTGCAACTTTAGTGTAATCATGAGAAAATACGGACTTTAGCTGGACAATCATTATTGAGGTACCAATTGTGACAGAAGGAGTCATGGTGGCAAGTGGGCTAGAGCACTGGGCTGCTTACCACATGGTTTGGTGGTTCAAACCCACCAGCCGCTCCTCAGGAGAAAGATGAGGCTGCCTGTTCCCCTAAAGATTTACAGCCTCCAAAGCCCTATGGAGCAGTTCTAAGTTCTACTCTGCCTTACTGGGTGGCAATGAGTTGGAATCGACCTGCTGGCAGTGGGTTTCTGGTTGTTTAGTTTAACTTAATACAACCTGGTGACACAGTGGGTTAACCACAGCATTAGTAACCGAGCACTCAGCAGTTACAGAGCAGTGAACTGTCTACTATGGCTCTTCCAGCCTTAGTATGCAATTCCCACCAAACGACATTTTCCTGATGGGTCTGGGTAAGGGAAGATGTGAGAAGATCTGTGTGATTCCATATGAGTGATTTTCACCAGTGTCACTGGAACAAAGATGGCAGGTTTCCAAGGAGCCGTCTCAGAAACGGGAAGGAGGATCTCACTGGCAACAAGAGGCAGGAGTGGGGCGCATCCTCTGGGGATGGAGACCCTGCATGTTGAACCTCCTGGACCCAGGAGACACAGCTGCCACAGCAGAGGAGCGGCAGCACCAACACCAAGAGCCATAGCACAAGGCAGAGGGCGGGCTTCCCAGCAAGAGGCAGAAGCTTTGGGGCAGAAGACTTGCTAGCAGAGTGGGGTGCCTCCTGGCACTTTGGTGAGCTAGGTTTGCTACCCTATTCAGCTACAGCTGAATGAATTTACGCTGAGTTCACAGTGGAGTGGAATGCCCTTCGGACATTTATCAGAAGCTCTGAAAGAGCTTTGCTCCAGCTGCCCCACCGAGCAGGGCAGAGGCCAGACCAAAGGAGTGAAGACCAGAGAGCCTGCCTCTAGGCATGGCTGAGGAAAGGCTGTCCTTACTGATTTGTATTGTCAACATTTCGGTCCCTATATTGTAACCTGTTAACATCTTCACTAACCCCCAGGAGCATGAGTACTGTCTCAGTTCTGTGTGGCCACAGAGACGTAGACAGTGCTGCGGGAGGGACGGCTGGTGGAAGAAGTGGTGGACAGGGGGAGGCACGTCTGACCTCCGCCTCACGGGAATTGTCCTGGGCGGATTCTGATCATGACTCCTGCCCACCTCCTGCCCTCCCCAGGAGATGTCAGAGGTCAGATGCCTGCCTCTAGGCCGTCTCTGCGCAGCGGTTCAAACCCAGCAACAGTTCTGTGGGAGAAGGTGAGGCCGTTTGCTCCTGTGAAGACTCACCGCCTCTGAAACCCAGTGGAGCAGTTCTACTGTATGCCATCGACTCACTAGGAGGAGGGAAGCCACTCGATGGTGGTGACGGTGAACCCGTGACACATGTGCCTGCTCGTGCGTCACGTTCAGGAGAAGCTAGCTGCGGGCTGTATGGAGCTCTGGCCCAGAGTCACCAGTTCTCATAGATCTTAAAACTCTTCTAAAATAAAACACTGATTTAGTTTAAAAAGGGATGAAATTTGAGACGAAGGGCAAATCATATACATTTTTGTAAATAATAAAGCCAGCCACAACATCCAACCTCTTACTTGACTGTATCTGCACACATGGTACTGCCGTTTTGGCCTTTCCATTTCTTGGTGGTGTGGTGGGTGGCGTGGTCGGGAGATCAGAAACCCTACAGAGCCGTTGTAGTCCGTCCCATAGGAGTACTGAGAGGGGCAATCAACTAGATGGCAGGGGGGTTGGGTGGTCTTTTTCCGGTTATTTCACATACTTGACACGATCCATATGGTCCTAAGACAATACTGACTCCAGCACAGCCACAGGCCTGAGCTATGGAGGACGCGGAGCTGGCCGGGACAATACACAGAAACTTACAGTAGCAGTTCTCTGCTCATCAAACTTGGAAAGCTTCTGAAGTTCTCGATAGACGGTCCCGAGGGGTGCATATTCCAGGATGAGGTAAACTCTGGTGGCATCGTGGAAATAACCATACAGCCTGAGAATGTTGGGATGCCTGCAACCAAGGCCAAATACAGTTGTGTCTGTGTTTGGAACTGACACAGAAATGGGACTAAATGTTATCCAACAAACCCCTCATGTGACACCAGTGGGATTTCTAATGGGTTTGGGTCATGAACTCCCACTGCCCTCCCCACACCACCAGCCCGACTCCACTTGAGATTCGAAAGCTATAGACCTGTTCTACAGACTAACACAAACATGTGCTTATCATTTTCCTGCCATTTTAAGGTATTCGAGAACTATTATCCTTTCCTTCCTTTCATGTATCTTTATTCTTAAGGGGGGAAATCCAATGGTGAATATCCACAAATATCAAAAAAGCATGATGTTTCCCCAATGGCTTGATCCGTGAACACTGAGACAGGCACTTTGTGTGGGCAGAGGTCCCTGTGCCAGTGGGACTGCCCCTCTCCACCCCCTCCCCCCAACTCCAGCCCCTTGCCTCTGGGCACGGATAAGGGCCAGCTTTATATAAGTAGTAGCAACTTGTTCAAACTGTTCAACGCTGTGACAGCAAAGATAAAGGAACCAACAACAACAAACACCCAGAGCCCAGAACTGATCTGCAGGTGTTAACAACACAGTAAATCCTGGATGAATCACATATTTGATTATTCTTGGTTGTATTAAGACACTGGCGCTCTACAAAGACCTTTGTTGTCGTTGGTAAGTGCTGGAGTCTGTTCAGACTCACAGAAATCCTGTAAGGGGTTTGTAAATCTTTGCTAGAGCAGAAAGCCTCATCTTTCTCCCGAGAAGGAGCTGGTGGGCTCGAACCACCGACCAGTGCTTAAAATCAAAGCCACGGCGTTCCCACAAAGACCTCTACAACTTTTTAATTCTTAGGAACCTTAAGTTCTGTACACATTCTCATGAACATGAAAGCAGAAACTTACCTAAGGTGGGACTGTATCTCTACTTCTCTTCTCACCTGATGCTCAACCCCTGCCTTTTCTAGCTGGGCTTTAAACAACACCTTCAGAGCCAGGATGAATTTGCTTTGTTTTTCTCTCGCCAGATAAACATTACCAAACTTTCCTTTACCCAGCGGCCGGCCAATTTCAAAATCCTCCAAAGTCCATTGCCTTCTAGGATAGAAATGGAACACTTTAAATGTGAAGAAAACCGGTATTTCCCAGCAACTTAGAGATGTTCTGTAACCGATCAGTAACCCACTTAAGCACCAAGCCATCATCAAAATGGGAGAATCTCCATGCATACCCCACCCCACTCCCCACACGAGTCTTTGACTTTGCAAGGTGCCATGCCCTGGAATAGAGAATGTCCCAGGGCTGCCCTGTGCTTAGGATTAAAGACCCATCTATAACACACCACCAGAAGAACATTCAAGAGATGTTGAGAAGTAACTGGAAAAACATTCCAGAAATATCTGTGAGTCATCCCAAGAGACGGCTCACACCCAGAAGATGGACATACAGCAGACATTGAGGGGAGCAGGCTGGAGTCGCAGGCCATGAAGGCTGACAGCCACTCCACCAAGAAGCAGAGGACTTTTGGTGTGGGTTCAGACCTGGCTCCTCCTACTGACAGCAAGGTTTTAGGTAGTTTCAGAGGAAGATGTTACAGCGACTTACAATAAAATACATCATCAGTTTAATAATACTGTCAAAATAACAGTTCTCTAGCATGACCAGCTGCCTGAGGTCTAAGGAGAGAAAGAAGCCTGGAAGCCCAGAAAACCAGACAGTGGGGCCCTCTGAGGCGGGGCGCAGCATCACTGTGCACGTTTCCACATGGGTTACACCCCCACAGACGTCTCCTAAACTTGAGAAGCACAGTTTCCGTGTCCCTAGTAAAGCAGACAGTTTTAAAGCCTCCTCTCTTCTCTTATAAAGATTGGAAAACTGGAAACCACCTGATAACCAGTTTTCTAAATGAAAAAAATTAAAAGTTTGTTTGAAAAGAGTTCCCCATCACTAATTTACCAATTAAGTGGTCTATTCTAGAATAACAGCAAAGAACTATGCAAATCAGACAAGACTTACTTTTTTGTTTCTTCTTTTTTCTGTTTTGATGCCAGTTCCTTTCCAGGATTGCTACCTACATAGAATAAATTAGAAATAGTTTATAGAAACAGAGATAAATCAAAGAACAATCACTAAAACATTAATAATGTTTATCAACCACGGTCTACCCAGGTATTTCTCTTTATATTTTAAAAGACCACTATGTGAAGTCGCCACAGAATTTCTAGAATAAAGCTGGGCAGATACACACATCGTTAGGCCCACCAATGAGAAGATTAAGACTATGCAGAGTCTCTCTAAAACTGCAGTTTGTTTTCAAATAAGAGCCCGGTGTGCTCGCCCTCGTCACCTTTTCCTCACTAGGGGTGCCAGACAACCAGGGTGACTTTCTCGCCACACCAGAAAAGATCTATCGATGGTATCTGAGACCAGGCCTAGACCAGAAGCCTCCTTCCACTGCTGGCTGATGGGGAAACAGGTACAGAAGCCACAGACTCAGCATATAATAAGTGAATGAGACGCCCAGCAGGTCCCAGAGCAACAATGTCATCAGCTTGTGTGCAGGGGGCACGTGGGACACCCCACCTTCACTCATCACACAGAGCCTGGTGGGCATTCCCAGTATCGTTCCCTCCCAGTCTCATGGAGGGCTCCCCTCGACTGACCCTGCCCCCTACCTGAGACCTTGCTTGTCTACATCTATCTTGGCTACGTGGACCGTTAACCTCCTCTGGGTCTCAGCCCCTTCCTCTGTGAAGCCGAGTCAGTAAGGCCGATGGTCACGAGAAAGGAAGCACCCATCCACCTGCGGTGTTCAACCACTCAACAGGTGGAGAGAAAGAACCGTCACCATCCAGCCGCCCCCACCAAGCGCCCCTGGCAGCAGTCCTGTGCCTCTCCAAACCATTTAGCACTCTTGGATCAAAGACCCCTAGGCAGCTCCCCAAGGCGCAAGATGAAGCCCCACTCTTTATCATAGTCTGCCTCAGTTCCCACGTGTCCCTCGAGTTCCCCACATTCTCCGTGCCCTCCGACCTTTTCAGGACCTTCCTGTGACAGTGCACCAAGCATTAAACCCCTGCTGACGAGTCAACTCCGACTCACAGAGACCCAGGAAAACAGGGGCCCAGGGCTGTCAGCTTTACAAAAGCAGATCACCACGTTCTTCTCCCAGCAGCGGCTGGTGAACTTCAGACACTAAAGCTCAGTGCTAAATAAACCACTGCACAATCCCTCTATTAGGCAGCCAGTGCCTTGTGCCGAACGCCACACTGCCTGCCTCCCCCTCCTTCAGAGCATCCCTCAGGCAGGCAGGCAGGCAGGCAGGCAGGCAGGCAGGCAGGCAGGCAGGCAGGCAGACGCTGGTTTACAAGAACTAGAAAGAACAACTCTGAGGCTACTTTACCAGCTGCAGGCGGCTGGGCCGGCTCGCTCTTTGGGGTGTTGTTTGGTGCCCTGGAGACAGGACGAGTGACAGTGGTTGTTGGCACTGGTTTCCGCTTCTGACCCTGAACTGGCTTCCGGTTGGAGACCAGCTTTTGTGTTTGTGACGGGGCATTCTGGGAGGAATTCGAAGGGCACAAGACACGCTGGGCCTGGCCACTGCTTGCAGATAATGGGTTATGAGAAGGAAATGGCAACGTCACCGGGACTCGTTTTGGACCATCGCCAAGTGGAAGTGTCACCTAGGTTGGGAGGGAAGACAAAAGTGAGTTTATAGCCTTCTTGAGTGAACACCGAATACTTGAAAATTTCAAAAAGCTTTTTTTCTTGTACAAGGCGGCTTCAAAAATGAGTGGCAAAATGTCATGGTTCTTAAATTTCATTTTTCTATGTACTTTTTGAAGTCACCCCCCGACCAGTATCACTGAATGGGTGCACGACTTTTTAATTAGTGCTTCTAGGCATGCCTCATTTCATTACACTGCACTGCACTTCACTTCGCTACATCGTTAAGAAAACAAACGGAAAGTCTGGGGCGACCCTGCACTGAGGAAGTCTACAGACACCATTCTTCTAACAGCGCGTGCTCAGTCCGAGTCTGCGGCACGTTTCTGCCATTCTCACAGCTTCAGTTTTTCATCAGGCTGCTGTGTACTTGGAGAGTCCTGGTGTGGCGCTGTAGGGTAAGCGCTGGACTGTGAACCACAAAGTCGGAGATTCAAAGCCACCAGCCGCTGCTCAGAAGCACTGCACACTTTATCCAGACTCCATTCTAGTACAGACATAACCTCATGGGCACATGTTAAGTACTGTGAACCCTGTTTCCAAGGAGTGGCTGATGGGTCTGAACCACCAACCTTGTGGTTCACAGTCCAGTGCTGATCCTACAGCACCACACCTGGACTCCCAACACTTCCTGTGATTCGCTTTACTATGACACTGGCTTTATTGTGGTGATCTGGAACCCAACCCACAGTATCTCCGAGGTATACCTGTATAGGGCTGAAAGAGGCATTACATAAATTCTCAATAATATAGATAATACTTCTACCCAGGTGTTCAGCAAAAAGCCACAACACACAAACTTAGACTAAAGTCTAAGTTCTAATCCGGAAATCTTTTTGAACACCTGTTAGAGGGAGTCCTGGTGTGGCACTGTGGGATAAAGCACTGGACCGCAAGGTCGGCAGTTCAAATTCACGCGCCTCAGAAATCCTATACAAGGTCGCTGTGAGTCAGAACCAACACAAGGCGATTAAACAAACAACATTACAGAGAAAACAAAACACAGACATCAGAATGCTCAGTGGAGGTTGTCTCTGAGCGCAGACGTTTGGAAACGATAGTCCACATTTGCTTATTTGCCAGATTTACCACAATAAGCACATTACTTTTGTTTGTTTTCTAATGCTTCATTGTCTAAGAACACCCAGAATGGCCATGAGCAAAAAACAAGTTTTCCAAATAAGTCCATTTTGCTCCTCAAATAGTTATTACCAAAATGTGTGATTTGCTATAGCTAGTATGTGGTAGGAGTCCTGGTGTGGTGCTATACGATAAGCACTGGACTGCTAGCCACAAGGTAGCCGTCCAAACCCACGAGTCAGTCCTCGGAAACCCTATGCAGGGTCACGATGAGTTGGAACTGACTTGATGGCACTTAACGACGAAGATGCGCAACAAGTTGGACCGTGAGCTGAAGACTGAATGACAGGTCGGAGAGATTCCCTTTCAACTTCTTGTCACAAACAAGGAACCAGTGATGGGGCGTGAAGCCTCAACTTTCATCACTCGCTCACTGGATTTAGTGCCTTAGCCCTCTTGTGATTTGTGGGACATGTAGTGCCCACCTACATTTCCCCACCTCTGAGGTTTAGTGGGAAACTCCTGTCCCACTTTTAGTTGAGTGCTGCCATGGGTGGGGACCTGTAAACTATGTGAATCTGAAGAAACAATTCCAGTTCCAGAGACCCCTTGGTATATGCACACCCCACTAATTGTATCAAAATCTATATGACATTCATCCAAAGTGTCGTTCTTTACTGAAAAAAAAAAAAAAAAAATGGTTTCAACAAAAAGTTTAAAGCAGAAAATAATTTGTTCTTAAAAGAGAAGAGCTGAGTTTTGAGACTTTCAAGTATTGGGTCAGTTCTTTCTGCAATCTGCAGTGTTCACAACACAAAAGGCATTTAGGCACGGCTACAAGGAAAAATAGCTTTTTTAAAAGAGGTCGAGAATACAACAGGTCCAGTGACTCAGTGTGGTCTCTTTTTCACTGGCCACTCTGTACTCTCAGCGGCTAAGAAAGGTAGATAAAGACTTTTGAATACCAGCCCTCACCAGCCCCCTCAAAAAATTAATATTTAGATTTTTATACTGATTTCTTAGAAGAACAATAAATCGGGAGATAACTTCTACTGAGGACTCTGATATTAGACTCATTCCTCACAGTGCTCCACACTCAGTCACTATATGCTGTGTTCCTGGGGTTTTCACTGTGAAGTCTTCCTAGACTTCACCATGTCACTGAGACCCAGGTACCTCTCTCCCCTAGCAACTCTGCAGACCCTCAGTGTCTGTCACCAGGCAGGAGGTCAGCGCCGAGCTCTGCAAAGTCAAGGGCCCTGTACTTTCAGCGTTGTCATCCTGTATCTCAAAGCAGGTTCCCAGGAAGCACCGACTAAAACAGTTTCTCACTCCTGGAGCTAACTGTTCCCTGAATTATGACCGAGCAATCCAGGCCTAAGAGTCCTGGCATGCGAGAGTACAGGCATCCAGTGAAGCACCAACCGGTCTAGCTGCTCCGGTATCCGGCTCCTGACTCATCCAGTAGCGTTCCCCTGCACACAGTGGGGAGACTGCAAACTGTACACAAGGCTGAACACAAGAGTCACACGGAGGGAGTCAGCAAAACGCCACTGAATGGTGGGAAGGAGCCCGGCCGACTGGGAGGACAGGAATCTACCACTGCACCCCAAAGCTAAGGTAAGAACTCCAGACAGGGGGCCAGTCTCTGTTTGAGACAGGATTGCAATTATACTATCCCATCACCTTAACGGGTCTTGGAACATAGTTTTCTTTGGCTTTATCCATGGTGCCTGAAAGGAAAAGAGAGAATGGTCTTTAGTTTACACAAATCTGCCCGCTGCAAAGCACTGCCTGCTCTCTTCAGGTTCCTACTCCCTGAGGGCAGCCCCAGCAAGACACACGACTACACTTTTTCTCTGCCCAAATGCAGTTCATGCAGCCGGCATAACGACAATGAGCGGCTCATAGGCCATGTCCCACCCCTACTCTCACACTCACACACTCACACACTGCACTCCTGAGTGGGTGGGCCTTCTCCTCTGTCACTTCCACTCTGCGGGTCCTTTCCTGATGGTGTGCAAGCCTGCTGTGACAGCTGCCACCGTAAGAAACGTCCTCTTGCCCCACACTTGCCTGGGGCTCTGACCTCATCGCTCCCCCTCCTCTCTCAAGGCTGCAGTGGGCCCTCGGCAGCCTCCTTCCCAGAGCCCCCTTCCCCAGGCTTCGTCCCCATGACAGGACCCTGTGGCTTCCAAACCCAACAGTCAGTCAACTGTCCTGCACCTACAGCGACATCTCACAAGGTGGGTCACCCCCTGATCCCCTTCCTTCGCTAAGCTTTCAGGTATGTCCCCGACCTCACTAGCTGTCCCCTCTGATTAGCCTCTTGGAGTACACTGGCCTCATTACTCTCAACCTGGACATATCAGGGGACCCAGGAATAAGTCCTTGGATCCTCCTCGTTCCCTCTTAGCCACCATTATCCAGGACCTTGGTTCTCACCAGCTTGATTAGCATAAGTCTAATTCACATCTTCTGCCCTCAGCTCTTCTCTGGCCACCAGACTCAAGATATTCAACTGTCACTGACAGGTCGGCCTCACAGCTCAATCTGAACAAACGAAAACCAAAACTTCTCCCTCCCTGCTCACGGGAGTACCTGAGCTCAGTCTGGACCACGTCTCCTTCGGTGTACATTCATTGTCTGTGAGACTGGATCTGGTCTCCAGAGGCTGAGGACTCCCACATTTCTATCTCCAGCCTACATCCTTCCCCAAACTCTACTCAAATCTCCCACCACCCATCCACCACTGTGTGTTGTTTGCTGAGTTGCAATCGATTCCGATGGCATCTAACAGCAACAGCATCCAACAGCTGCACCTCCTTGTCTGAGGGGACTCCAATTTTAATACGACCCAAACTCAAGGCATGAACCTTCTCCAGGACAATTCACAGAGCGAAGGCCCCACCTCAGTTGATGGCAAATCCATCCTGCCAGTTGCTCAGGCCAAAAGCCTTTCGTGGCCCTTTCCCTTAAACCCCACATTGAGGTCATCAGCACATCTGCCAGGAGTCTACCTCAAAACCACTGCTCACCACCTGACCTGTCTTTCTCCCCAGGCCAATGTTCTTTCCAGCCTCGCCCCACTGTGCTCATTCTCACCACCAGGCCAGGTATGCCAGCCGGTCCTTGGTTCAGACACCTCCCGTGGCTCCCCAACTTAAACTCTCACCTGCAAGACAGGCCTCCAAAGTCCCACAGAACGAGGGACAGACCATGTCACCTCCTATTATTCCCTGCACACAGAGCTTCTTTCCTCCAACTAGTTCCCTGCCCCCAGGGGCTTTTCACAACCTTTTTGGTTCTTTCCTTAGGTGTGAGGCTCATACGTCACTTCCATTTCATTCAAGCCTCTGGCTCAAGTGTCCCTTTACAGAACCAAAGCCCAAAACCCAGACCCATCATGACCTGTGTAGGATTTCCAAGGCTGGAAATCTTTAAGGAAGCAGAAAGCCTCATCTTTCTCACCTGGTGGTGCTGACCTGGCAGTCGGAAGCCTATTTGTTACCCTCCCCCCCCTTCTCTGCCTTAAATTTTCTTCATAGCCCTCAGCATCTCACACAAACATTACAATGAGTATGTTTTGTGTACTGAGTTCTCCCCCACAAGAAGGTGCGCTCCAAAGAGCAAGGACTTAGCCCCTTGCTGCTCACTGTCCCATCACCAGAGCCGAGAACAGCCCATGACTCTTAGGACCCACTCTAATGCAGAGTACTTCAGTAATACAGTGCACAGTACGAGCACACCAAGACTTAAGCACAATCATCTACGAAGACAGCAGAAACCTGCCGATGTTTCATACCCAGCTGCTCAAGGAACAGGAGAATCCCATCAGAAAGCCCACCCCAGTGCCTTTATACTTGCTTCATAAATATGCAACTCCAGGACAAACAGGATTCAAGACTCCTTATGCCAAACCAGTGTTTAGTAAAAAAAAATAATAATAATAAATAATGCATTTTTTAAAATAAGGAACAAGAAACACAAAGGCAAGCCAAAAAGTATCGCTACAAAGTCATTGTCATTAAGTGCTGTTGAATTGGTTTGAACTCATATCCACCCCATATTGGGTTTCCAAGGAGCGCCTGGTGAAATGAGCCGCCAACCTACAGGTTCAAACCAACCTTGAAGTCAAGTGCTTATCCTACAGCACACCAGGGTTCAAAAACAGTCATAGGAAACTTTATTTATTTATTTTAATCAAAATGGGAAGCTATTGTTCGACATATCCAATATCTAGGTCTACACACTTCTGAAGGTGAGGCTTCTATGTCTAATCCTTCCTGGAGGAACTCGGAGATCCTCAACTGATACCACAGCAAAATGGCAGGCTTGGCATCCTTGAGACTCAAATTGTATTCCTTTTAAGTTCCTTTGGGATCCCCCAAAACAGTTGCTATGGCATTCTAACAGACCTCTCTGACCTGAGTTTAACTGATTCAGCAAATCCGTTTGGAAGCGAGTTTTGATTGGACCTTTTTTGAAGGCTCCTTATCAAGCCTAAGAACTATATGCCGCCATGCACTGATCACAATGCCATGTCTAAACACATTGTGTTTGTAATAAATCCACACACATAGGAGCTAGAAACCTAGTATCTATCAATACTTTGTGACTTACTCTTGGATATGCTTCTACTATGCAAACCTCAGCTCCTAGACTGCTCTGCGGCTTTCACTTTCCCTGCCAATCACAAGTAGCCGACTAAGAAGATCGTTTACGCCAGTCATGATCCAATAATGACATTTACTCATCTTCTAACATCTGTCCCCATCTATTCTACTTTCTCTTCCTTGTTGGGAGGCTAAACAAGAAACAGAGCAGTAAGATGGATTCAGAAATCCTGGGGTGATCACCCTGGAAGCCTACTCCTCAGGTGATTTAGATCTAGAACCAGATGCAGGAACCAGGGACCAGATGACCTACAGGTGACCCATCCCAACCAGACACCCTACAATTCTAAGCAAGAACAGTGTTAGCTTTCCCTGCACTGTAGGTTTAGGGTCAAGGCTTACTGTCCGTCTCTCAGGCATGGGAGACCTGTGAACGTTTGCAGGGAGAAAAGTGAGTGGAGGAGTCTGAACATGTTGCTGAAAGGCATGTAAGTTGAGGGAAAAGGAGGGCTGAGGAAGAGGAGACAGGATGAAAAGTCCAGGGCAGTAGTGACATTACTTAAATCTTGGTTAGAAACGGGAATGTTCAAGCTCAACTAGACTCATAAATCAGACTACTAACATCCTTCCCAGTGACATTCTGCAGAGTGTGGACCACTAGGCTCTCAGGGAGACATTGAAATCAGCTAGACAGCTGGCTGCAAATACAGACACCTGGGCCCTACCCCAAAGGTTACTGAGTCCTTGGGTCTGACTCTGAGTCACCCTACAGGACACAGCACAAGTGCCCCATGGTGTGGCACTGGAGGACAAGCGCCAGATGGTTAACTACAAGGTCGGTGGTTCAAACCCACCAGCCATTCCTCCGAAACCCTATACAGGGAGGGTCACAATGAGTTGGAATCAACTCATCGATAATTAACAACAGAACTGCCCCCAAAGGTTTCCAAGACTATAATCTTCGAAGCAGACTGCCTCACCTTTCTCCCAAAGAATGGCTGGTGGGTTTGAACCAACCTTTTGGTTAGAAGCTAAGCGCTTAACCACTGCACAACCAGGCCTCCTTCCCTTTCCTTTCTTTTTTTTTTTAAACAAGGTTCCCATACAGGTTTGGAAAAACCCTGGCCTGGAAAGTGTCAATTCACTCAGCCAGGCCGGATATGCCCTCTTGGCAGACCAGCCTAAAGTTTTCTTGTTGATTGCCCTCTAGTCACCTCACTGGACCTCCCTGTAGGGTTCGCACTACCCAGAGCCCTTTATCTAAAGTTGCCAGGTGCCATGGAGCCGATTCGGACCCCGAGTGACCCCACGCGAAAGTATAACTGTGCCATAGGGTTGTCTCGGGTGGAAGCAGATCCTCTAACCTTTCTCCCGCAGGGTGGGTTCCCGCAACCAACCTTTCGTAAGCAAGCGAGTATCTCTAAAGCAACTCGAATTTATGGCGACCCTAATCTATATAGAATTTCCGAGACTAAACCTTTTCGGGTGCACATAGCCTCATCGATCTCCTATGAAGCGGCTGGTGGGTTTGAACCGCTGACCTTAACGCTTAACTGTTTCACCTGGTTCAAATAGTTGTCACAATTGGAAGCGATCCTGTTAATTCCTCGTCTGTCTCCCCACCCCAGGTAAAAGGTAAACTCTAGCATGGCAGTGACCTCTCCGTATTTTTCTTACCGAGCGGCCTACTCAACACGAGAAGCCCCCCAAAACCATTCAACCGCCCCCCTCCGCCTCTATGGGAATACTCAACATCAGAGTGGGGGATCCTGGGTGACCACAGGCCGGAGTGCCAGGTAGGTACCGAGGACTGGCCCGGAGGGCGTCCCTCGGGGACCCCTCCTCTCTGACCTGCGGTCCCCAGGTCCATCACACACCCATAGGCCTTCCCCCAGCCAGCTCCACAATGGTCACCTGCCGCCTCCGGAGTAGGGCCGCCAAGTCCTCCCTAGAGCGTAGCCGTTAGGAAGCTACGGTTCTTCTTTTTAAATACGAGTTAAACCCTCTAACACGAAAGCTGATTGGCCTGCGTTGAACAGAGGCTGCCTTCTGACTGGCTAACAACGGACCGGACATGAATCACATGACAATGCTTAGCTGACGCGCAGGCGCACTCACTCCATATGGTCCCGGAAGTGGCGCCAACGGCCCTTCAGACCCGCGGCCTTCTACCGCCCGAAGTGCTCTCCAGGATCAGGCGTTTGTCAGGGATCCGAACAGCTCCCTAGCGTCAGGGCTGCTACAAAGAAAATAAATCCAGGGGAGGTGAAAGAACCCTTCAAACGTGCCAGAAGGTAAGATGGCGAGGATGGCAGACTAGAGCGGGGCCGATCGATAGCGCAGCGCTCGGTGCGGCGACCTGTGCGTGTGCGCAGTGAATGTGAGCACCGAGCGATCGATCGGGCAATATTCGCGCCTCCATTTTTCTAGGAGAAAGCGGGAGACCGCGAGAGCCAGAGCAGCGGGTAAGGGGATGCCGGGATGCGAGCAGAGTGGACGAGCGCTGCAGGCCCCTGCGGGGAGGCCTCGGTCATGGCGGGAGAGCCCGGAGGGAGCGCAGAGGCCTGCGGCATGACCTCTCGTGTCCTGGTTGCGGAGCTGGGCCTGCACAGCCTCCTCTTCTAAGGACATCGTGCCCACTCCTCCCGGCCCTTAGTCCGCCTCCGCTTTGGGATGGCCGCGGCGCGTTCCTTGTACCATGAAGGAGGTTCACGGTCTCTCCCGGAGTAACTGGCCCTGGGGTCGGCTTCCTCCTGACCCCTGACTTCTGTGTCCCCACTTGCTAGCCCGGAGGGTGGACATTGTATGGGGCGGGAGAAGCAGGAGCTCGCCCTCTTTGTATCCAGGATGCCTGGCAGGACCGAGGAGACGGGATAGGATCGTAGTTCGGCTGCGGGCGGGTTACGCAACCACGCTAAACTTAGTGGGCATCCTCCCTCCTCCGTGTCCAGTGTTACCGACACAACCACATTGCTTCTGCATGCATCCTATGGTTTCATTCAGTGGTGTCCGGCAGGTGGTGGTGCTGTTGGGTGCCGTTGAATGGTTCCGACTCATAGCGACCCCATAAAATGTTTCCAAGGAGCGGCGAGTGGGTTTGAACCACCGACCTTGCGGTTAGCCAAATAGCGCTTAACCTGCAGCGCCACCCAGGAAATGCTTAATAAATGCTGTTGTTAAATGCCATCGAATCGGTTCCGACTCATAGCGACCCAATAAAGGGTTTCTAAGGAGCAGTGCATGGGTTTGAACCACTGACCTTGTGGTTAGCCATCCAACACTTAACGGTCAGCACCACACCAGGAACTGCTCAGTAAAGGCTGTTGTTGTTGTTAGGTGTCATTGAGTGAGTACTGACTCATGACCTTATGCACCACTGAAGGAAATACTGCCCGGTCCTGAACCCCCCTCAACAATCATTAGTATGGTTGAGCCCATTACTGCTGCCACTGTGCCAATCCATCTCGTTGGGGGTCTCCCTCGTTTTCACTGACCCTTCTTCACTTTACCATGCATAATAAATGTTTGGTGGTGGATATGTGCTGTGGAGTTGGTTCCAACTCGTAGCAACCCTGTATAGAGTTTCCGGGGCTGTAAATCTGTACGAGCAGAAAGACTCATCTTCCTCCCGGGGAACCGCTGGTCATTTTGAACTGCTGATGGTGAGCTTAGTAGCCGGACTTGTAACCCCTACGATACCAGAGCTCCTTAGTGATGAATGTTAGTTAGCTGTTATGAGTAAGCGTAGTGTATACAAAACTCAGGTTCTGAGATTAGCACCTGCCATTGACAAGCTCTTTGATCCTGGGTGAGCTGACTAACTTCTTTAGTTCTGTTGCTGATCCCTAAAGTAGAACTGTATGAGGAGTGAAGGAGGTAATAAGTCCTTTACTCACGACACGTTAGGTATTGTACTAACATGGGGTTGCCATGAATTGCAGTCAACTCTATGGCAACTAACAACAATGAAGATCTGATCAGTCCTAGTGAGTATTTTTAAGTTTTTAGAAAACATTACAAAGCTGTGGTTAGTGGCAACACAGGCTCTAAAGGCAAACTATCACCGTTCTAGCCCAGGTTCCTCTAAGCCTAATGGTGAGATCTTGAAGAACTGCTTCTCCCACCTTATCTGAAAACAAGGAGATTCCAAGACTGCCGTTATAGGGAACTCTTGAGGATTAAGTGAGATAAAACCTGGTAAACACTGTAAATATTAGCGATTATTCTGATCAAGGTCAGTGGATCACTCCTCAGAAACGCTATACAGAGTCACTATGGGTTAGAACCAACTGGACGGCACTTAACAACAACAACATGATTGGTAATCTCAGTGATCTTCCAGGGGCAGCTGTGCAGTTAGAACAGGTGGGTTCTATCTCTCAGAGTCACCCAGGATAGCAGTACCAAGAGTTACCGCTGCATCCTTTCTGTTACGTTCTCGTCTCCATTTTTCACTCCTAGGCTCCTCTGCAACAGTCCCATCCCCATCTTCAGGCACCTGCAGCCTTCTGGGACCAGTCCACACAGAATATTTGAGTCTGTGATTTTTTTGTGTATATTACCTGATTAGATTGCTGTTGACTCCAGTCCAAGTCCTAGCAACTCTTCAGGACAGAGTAGAGAAGGGTCCCATAGAGTTTCCTAGGCTGTGATGTGGTGTGATTCTGTAGGATAAGCACCGGACTGCAAAGTCAATGGTTCAAACTTACCATCCGCTCCTCGGAAACTCTATACAGAATTGCTATGAGTCGGAAGTGACTCGACGGCGCTTCACAGTGTACAGGATCCAATAACCAGATATTTTCTTCTGCAGAACGGCTGATGGGTTCAAACTACCAACCGCTTGGAGAAGCCTCGCGCTTTACCACTGCTTTAAGTGCTGTGAAGTCAGTTCTGAATCATCGTGACCCTGTATGGGGTTTCCAAGGAGTAGCTAGTGAGCTTGAACCTCTGACCTTGCAATTCAAACGTACTTTGCAGTCCAGCACATTAGCCCCCAGCGCCACAGCAGGACTCAAACCTTTGCAAATCAATCTGACTGTAAAGTCCTGGTAGACTTTATTTCCTTCCTCATCTTGATCATTGCTTTTCTCCTATCTTATTTGACAATAATTTTATTTAAATGTTTATCTTTGTCTTTTCAAAGCATTCAACTTGGTTTCGTTTTCATTAAATAATAACTTTTGCCTTCCCATTTAAATTTACTAATTATATAATTACAGTAACAAGCTCAGTTGCCCTAAAACAGGTTTTAGGAACAAGCAGAGCTGACTTCAGTCTGTACACAGCTCAGCTGGTGAAAGTAGGGACCCCCTAGACATTCGCAGCAGCGACACCTGTCCACGGTCATCAGTACCGCGTTGTGTTTTCTTAGTGGAAGAAACCAAAAATGCAGACAAGTCCTTTTGTCAGAATGAGCCTTAGTGGTGCAGTGGTTAAGTGCTTGGCCACTAACCAAAAGGTTGGCTGTTGAAACCCAGCAACAGCATCATGGGAGAAAGGGCCTGCTAATCCGCTCCCATACGGGAGACCCCTGTGGGGCATTTCTGCCCGACAACAGCAGATTGGAAAGAGAACAGGGGGCAAGGGTAAGTTGAAGGGAAGTCATGTTGATGTCAGCTGACAGGCTTGGTGCCTTCTGTGTGCCAGGCTCTGGGCTCAGACCCCTACGTGCACAATCATTCTTCCCCTTTTGGTGGCGAGCTGAGGGCACTGAAGCCACTAAGCAAAGAATGCAGCTGGTCGCGCTGGGCTTTCAGCCTGGCAGGTGTGTTTGTGTCTGAGAGTCACGTGAGCCTCTGCCCTTCACCACCCTCCTGTGTTCTCTTCCAGCTGGCAGGGAACTCATCATCCTCTTCTCCGAGATGTACAGAACCAAAGTGGGCCTGAAGGACCGGCAGCAGCTCTACAAGCTGATCATCAGCCAGCTGCTTTATGATGGCTACATCAGCATCGCTAACGGCCTCATCAATGAGGTCAAACCGCAGTCCGTGTGCGCGCCCTCTGAGCAGCTCCTACACCTCATCAAGCTAGGTAGCCTTCCCTGTGACTCCCAAACTCAGGTTTTCCATGCTTTCAAGCATCTGGGTTTTACGATAATTATAGTTGTGTCTTACTGCCTCATATGTGCCAGGTAAGGAACCCTGGTGGTCGTTTGTAAGTGTCATTGAATGGCTGGAATCCGCCAGCCCCCTCAAGATTACAGCCCAGGTAACCCCATGGGGCAGTTCTGCTCCATCCTGTCTCGTTGCCAGGGGCCATCACCGACTCGGGTGCAGTGGTCTCTTGGTACCGGCCAGGGGTGAGCCAGGTCCAGATTGTGAGTATGCTGAGCTTGGTCCAGCCTCCAGGCCTTTGTGCTCCTGACTGGAAGGAAGGACTGTGGTGGTGTGCTGGTGGCTTCCCTCCGGCCTGGACTCACAGGTCATCTCAGCCTTCGTCACCCCTTCTGAAGGGACCCCAAAATCTTCCCAGGCCTCCCCACTTACTCCACACCAACCATCCTCTCTTTCCTTCAGAATGGAATCGTTGTGTGAAATGTTCTCTGTTGTTGGGGTTGTACCCACACAAGCTGCCCATCTTACTCCCCAAACTCAGTAACAGTCAGGACTTTGTCTTGTTCAGCACGTTCCCCTGATGCTACCAGGGCTCCTGAGACCATGGTTTAGCTGCTCTGCTTTATTGAGTGCTTTCTAGGAGTGAGTGTGTCTGTTACAGGCCTGGGTCTCTAGAAGTTTATATGGCCAGGGGGTTTGGGTTGTTGTTAAGTGCCGTCAAGTCAATTCCGACCCATAGCAATCCTGTATAGGTTTCCAGGGAGTAGCTGGTGAACTTGAACTGCTGACCTTGCAATTCAAGTGGTTTTACAGTCTGGTGCATTAACCCACAGAGCCACACCAGGACTTTAAAGGGATCCCCAGCCACCCATGGAGAAGGTAGGACACAGGAATGAGCAGAGCAGTCAGGTGTGGTGCAGGTTTGTCCCAGGCCTCTAGAGGGAGCACTGCCCCCCAGACCCTGGACGTCCATAAGAGTCTGCAGGGATTGTCCCCCAGCCGCAGGTCCCTCCTAGAAAAGAAAGGACACTTAGCGTTCCTGGGGGCTTGTTTCCAGCCAAGTCAAGTGATGGTGTGCGATGTAGAGCTGTCGCTTTAAAGAAAGCAAACTGGCCCCCATGGGAACCTCACAGGCTGTGTCTGAGTGTGTAATGAAAACAGAAAGGTCCACAGAACATGATGGCGGGGGGGGGGCAGGCATGACAAATAAAATGATGGCACTAGCCATCCGTCCCTCAGCACAACCCAGGAGGGTTCAACAACTCAGTACAGTAGTCACCGGCCCCCAGACACCCACTGTAGTGATGGCCTTGATTGGGGAATGAGCTGCCTGCGGTTCAGGCTCCACAATGCTCAGGGCACAGTTCTTCCAGTCAGGACCGCTGAGAAATGCCCACAGCACACGCCCTCCACCATAAGCCTCTGCCTGTAGGCACCGGGCTCTAACTCCGTGGGTCAGCAAACCTCAGTTAAGTGCCGGGAGGGGGACCCCACTCTGCAAGCTAGTCTCCTGCCTCCCTCGCTCCATGGGAGCTTGTACTGCTGCTCTGCCCCACCCCCGGCACCACAGCTTTCTGTCCCTGGACCCAGGAGGCTTCATACACTGGGACCTCTGGGTCTGAAAGACAAACTCCACTCTTGGCTCCTCCTTTTTTTTTTTTCTTTTTAGCCAGAAGAACAAAAAATCTTTGTTGGAATAACTACAACCAAAATTCTTCCTTAGAAACCAGGATGGTAAGACTTTGTCTCTCATACTTCAGACAGATTATCAGGAGGGACCAGTCCCTGGAGAAAGAAATCATGCTTAGTAACGTGGATGGTCAATGAAAACATGGAGACCCCAACAACATGGATTTGCACAGTGGCAGTAGCTGTGGGCTCAAGTATAGCAACAATTGTGAGGTTGGCGCAGAACTGGGCAGTGTTGTGTTCTGTTGTGTGTAAGGTCCCTATGATTTGGAACCAAATCGATGGCACCAACCAACAACAACAAATGCATTCTTACTCTATTCAAGTTTCGGCTGTATTGATTTTGAAGCAATTTTGCAATTAAATAACAGTTATCTTTATTCAACATCTTAATGGTATTATTTTCCCTTGACTTTTCCAGTCACAATTAGGTGACACTTCTTCCATCATGGAACAGAAATTTTGTTTATGAAGGTAGTCAGTAATTATCGTCAGCAATGTTTAGCACTGGTTTACCATCTGTTGTTTGGAAACTCTATCCACTTGGACTGTTTTAGTTTTCCTCCTAACTTCCTGGCCACAAACAATTCTGATTATTTTTTGGGTCCTCTGCTGCTCTCCCATATTCTTAAGTATTGAATCCTGGACATTTTCCTCTTCCTGTGTTTTTTTTCTGGATAAAGCCATCCGTGAATACGTATGAGTGCTGGTAGATAATTCTCTGAGTTCTTGACCCTAAAATATAGATCCATATAGTCATATAACAGCTTCACATGCCTACCTCATTGTTGTTATGTGCCTTCAAGTTGACTGACTCATAATGACCCTGTTTCCAAGGAGCAGTTGGTGCTCTGGCTCCTCTTCGTGGATGGTAGTGAGATTCCTCCTTCCTGCTGCTGACATGGCTCCTTTTATACACGTTCGTATCATCACTACATCACAAAGAGTATCCTCAATTTATTTTACTTTTATTTGGAGAATGATTTGGAAGTGGATTTTGGAAGTCTGAGAAGGGAAGTTAGGAGACTTGTTAGGAAGTTTTTGCAATAATACCATCAAGAAATTAAGAACTGGTAGGCATCAGCCAGTGGGTGCTGGGAGTAGGGGGGCAGTGGTGCTTGTCTGCCTGGCCCATGCTGCCCTGCTCCTGGGGCGGCTGAGGACGCCCAGCCAACAGCCCACAGTGAGGATTGAGAATCCAGCAAACAGTGAAGAGCCCGTGACCACCACAAACTGATTCCTCAACAACTGTGCGACTTTCATTGGGAGGTGTCGCTGTGAAGCAGGAGTTGTGAAGTGCTATTGAATTGTTTCCAATTCACTGACCCTGTATAAGGTTTCTGAGGAGTGGCTGGTGAGCTTGAACCACTAACCTTGCAGCTCAAACTGACCATACAGAAACTTTGTTTTGCCAAAATTTATAACATCATTTGTGGGCCATACAAAATTATCAACTTAAAAATTAGCCTGCTATATTTGGTCAATTAACTCAGCGCTAATGTGAGTCAGAGAAGAAGAGGAAGACCCCCAATGAGATGGATCAGCCAGGTGGCATCATTGATGGACTCAGGTGTGGCAGCGGTAGTGAGGTTGGCCCAGGATCGGACATTGTTTCGTTCTGCTGTGCATGGGGTCGCTATGAGTCGGTTCCGACTCGATGGCACCTGACAACAACAACAACAATGTGAGTCCTAAAGGAACGCTGGTAGCGTAGTGGTTACGAATTGGGCTGTGAGCCGCAAGGTTAGCAGTTCGAAACTACCAGGTGTTCCGCAGGAGAAAGATGAGGTTTTCTGCTCCCGCAAAGATTTATAGCCTTGGAATCCCTATACAGGGTCGCTATGAGTCGGAACCGACTCCACGGCACATTAAAAAAAAAGTGAGTCCTAGGAGTCCTGGTGTGGTGCTGTGGGCTAGTGCATCAAACTGCAGAGTCCGTCATTTGAACGGCAGGGTCAGTGGTTCAAGCTCACCAGCTGTAGGTCGAAATCGACTTGACGGCACTTAAAAACAACAATGTGAGTCCTGGTGTGGCGCCATAGGATAAGCGCTTGGCCTCGGGGTTGGTTTGAACTGCAAGGTTGGCAGTTCAAACTCACAAGCCGCTCCTTGGAACCCCTATACAGGGTTGCTATGAGTCAGAACCAACTCAGCAGCACTTAACAACAACAGTGTGATAGCTGGAACTGCAGTTGCCTTGGCAGGGCCAGACCAAATGATTTTGCGGACATAATCGGTCTGCAGACTGGACGTTCCCCACCCCTGCTCCCAAGCAGCCCAGCCCTCTTCCTGCTCACCCCTTTCCTTGGTGCTTGCAACCTTAACCATCCCTGCCTGAGTTCACCCAGCCTGGTGCACCCTCCTGAGCCTAGGAGGGGAAGTATAGATACTTAGGATGGATAAGTAAGGAGCTTGTTGGTTTCAGACTGCTGAAGGCGCTGAGCCTTCCCACCTGGAGGACCTGCTGAGGCAGGTGTGAGAGACTGAAGCTCATTGGCTGAGCTCTGTGGGGTGTCCGAAACAGAACCTGTGACAGCAGTGTGAGCATCTGGCACCTGGACCCCACGCCAAATAGCAGTGACGTTCATGTCTGCTCTTTTCATTTAAAAAAAAAAAGATCAAGAGCTGTGTGTGTTTACTACCCAGTAGGCCAAGCCACGCCTTGCTTTTCCTTTTAGAATTTAGAAATAACCTGTTCCTATTGGTGCAGGCATTACTCATACCTCAGCGTTCGTTACTGCACATCTGCACAATCTCCAGGTACTAGATTTGTACTGTTTTCATAAATGTGGGTGTCAGATAACTAGGTAGTTGCTAAGTCTGGATTCGATGTAAAGGAATCTATACACTTGCATGAGTAGAGAATGTGCTGTCCAGTAAAAGACATTAGAAAAACGATTGAGGAAAAAAGAGCCTTCTTACCCTACCCAGTCCTCAATCAATTCCAAATGGATCGATGCATTTCAATAAACTCTGAAAGGCACTGGGAAAGACATAGGTACCAGTTTGTTTATGTAAGAGTTGAATACTTTTTTAGGCGAAGGCTATTTTTAAAAAGTAGCAGCAATAATTGTCAAAGTGCTCTGTGTGTCCCCAGACCGCCCTCCCCCCAGGCACCTCCACCGTAAGTAGCGCGCAGTACTGTAACTGCTCTGTGCACTGCAGTCCCAGCTCTGGTTTTTGAGGGCATGGGTAGGAGTAAGGAATGAGGGTTCGAGTTATGACCATGGCTGGGTCTAGTTTAGGGGTAGGGATGGGAGTTTTAGAGTTACAATCCTGTAGATCTGTTTTGCTTTGCATCCTTCTTTATCTGGGTTGGGGGAGTATGGTGGCTCTATGGGATAAGCACTGAACTCTGAACCAAAGGGTTGGTTTGAGCCTACCAGCCACTCTCCCCAGGGTTGCTATGAGTCAGGAGTAAGCAATGGCCCTTAACAAACATGGTTCTGAGCTGAGTTCTGGAAGCTACGTTGTCGCAGCTCTTCCTCTCTGGTTGTTTGCTATTGGTTCTCAATCCAAAACCCTCCCTTTAATAGTTGTCATAAGGTTAGTGTGGGTTTTACTAATTCGTTTCATTTCTGTTTATCTGAGAATGATTTAATTTTTCATGAAGGACATGGAGTCCTGGTGTGGTGCTGCAGGATAATGCACTGGACCACAAGGTCGTTTTGAACGGCAAAGTCAGCAGTTCAAACCCCCTCGCCACTCCTCGGAAACCCTATGCGTGATCGCCATGAGTCAGAACCAACTCAGTTTGGTTGAATATATGTTATTCCATTATCACCTTGCCTACTGAGAAATCAGCTTAGGTTTATTAGTTCCCATTTTGTAGGTAACTTTTTGTTTTTCCTAAGTTGCTCTCAGGATTCTTTACTTGTCTTTGGTTTTGAAAAGTTTCATTATAATGTCTTCATGGTTTGGAGAGAGGGGATGTCTGTCCTGTTTGAGGAGTCCTGGTGTGTTGTTGTGTGTTAATGCACTGAACTACAAAGTCGGTTTGAACCGTAAGGTTGGCAGTTCAAGCTCACCAGCCATTCCTCGGAAACCCTATGCAAGGTAGCTATGGGTCGGCAGCGACTCATCTCACTTCACAACGATCTTGTATGGTGTTCATTTACCGTATCCTATTTGGTGTTCATTACCTTTCTTCTTGTCTTTCACCCTGTTAGGGAAGTTTTCTTCCAACAATTATTGGACAGCATTCTCTATAGTCTTTCATGTGTTTCTTCCTGTTCTGGAATTCCAGTCACAGTGTCCCACAGAAATCTTAGGCTTTCTTCAGATTTTTTTGTTCTTTTTTTCTGATTGTTCCTTTAGCAGATGAATGTTGAAAGATTTCCATTCTACTTGTGTTAATCTGGCTTCCTGATTGTTGCTTTTGTATGGGTCCCATGTTTTCATTAATTTTGTCAGTTTGCTTCTTGAATTATTCTAGAGTTTTGTCTGTTTTCCTTGGTTTCATCTGCAGTTTTCTCAGTTACCCTGTCAATCCACTGGAAATGCCAAAATAGCACACTTTGACTTCCTTAGCCAGTGGTTGCAGTACCATTTCAGATGTTGTATTTTCTGCCTCTATTTTATTCATCACTTGTTTGAGGCACTCTAGCCTGTTTCCTCTGACACATTGTGCTGTTGTATTTGTATTTGGTTGATTGTTGCATGTTGCCGTGTTCTCGGTCACTCTCCTCTCCCCTGGTGGATGTGCTGGACCCTGGAAGCGTGTACGTGGTTTTCTGTGTAGCGTAGTCAGGATGAGTGCGCATGTCTCCAGAAGCAGGTGTGCTTGTGGCCAGCATCCAGCCCCAGACCCGAGGCTGCTCAGGAAGGGCTGCCAGTGGTCACTGCTCCTATTCTGCTTCCTCTTCCCATCAGAACTCAGTCCCCCGCTCTGTGATAGCCTCTGAAGCTTGGGGTCCAAGGTCACCTTCTCTGTTCATTTCACTCCGTTTGCTGTTTACTGTGTCTGTTGCAGAGGAACTGCCTCCTCTGCCCTCCATGGGTTTTTTGTTTTCTGTTTTTGCTGTTTATTGTGATAACTAAATGCTAACAGAAGTCCCTAGTACCTCCCCCTTGAAGCACTCCTGGGTTTGCCACAGCACTCTCTGTGCCCAGCGCGGTGGGCCTGCGGTGGTCTCACACCAGGGTGGCCTGCCACTGTATCTCCAGGTCACTGGGAGGGGAAGAGGCTGCTCAAGGGGGGCAGGCCTCTTGCTGAAGTTAGCAGGGACCTAGCTTTTCATTTTCTAGGTCGTCTGCCCCACACGCCTGCCAGGTGTATGGTATCAGCCATCGATTGTGAGTAAACTACTATGGACGATTTTACCAACACCAGTTTCCTGACTTAACTCCCGAGGTTTTTGATGCTGGATCCCCCTTCTTCCTTAGCTGCTGACTTCTCTCTCCCTTCAACTACTGCTGACATCATTACCCACTGGGCTTTTTGTTAGGGGCTATTGAATTAATTCCAAATCATAATGACCCTGTGTATGGTTTCCAAGATTTTAAAACTCTTCGTGGCAGCAGAAAGCCTCGCCTCGTCTTTCTCTCACTAGGACCCAGGAAAAAAAATTCCCATGGTTGGTTTTCATGTGTGCACGTTTGGTTTCTTTCAGGAATGGAAAATGATGATACTGCAGTGCAGTATGCAATTGGCCGTTCAGATACAGTGGCCCCCGGCACGGGCATTGACTTGGAGTTTGATGCCGATGTCCAGACCATGTCCCCAGAGGCGTCAGAGTACGAGACCTGCTACGTCACATCCCATAAAGGGCCCTGCCGGGTGGCCACCTACAGCAGAGATGGACAGTTAATAGCCACCGGCTCAGCTGATGCCTCCATAAAGATCCTCGACACTGAACGCATGCTGGCTAAGAGTGCAATGCCAATAGAGGTACGTACTCAGGGTCACTGGCTGGTGGCCTCTAGGTCATTCCTGGCTCCTGTGAGAGTGGGGTTTAGACCAGCTTGCACTAAGCCTTGTTCTGGACCGTGCCCTTAGATTATGGTGGCTTTTGCACACTGAGCAGCTCTCTTCTTGTTGGTCTAGGTCATGATGAATGAGACCGCCCAGCAGAATATGGAAAACCATCCAGTGATTCGAACTCTCTATGACCACGTGGATGAGGTCACGTGTCTCGCTTTCCACCCAACAGAACAGATCCTGGCCTCGGGTTCACGGGATTACACTCTTAAATTGTTCGATTATTCCAAACCGTCTGCAAAAAGAGCCTTCAAATACATTCAGGTTAGCATCTGGTGTTGGGAAAGGGGCGTGGTTTTCCCTCCGGAGCAGTGAACTGTTGTCTGACTGGTCTTGTATACATACACTGGTCTCAGCAATTATACAGGAAGTGCTGGGGGGGAGGGAGGGGGCCAGGCCTGAATGCAGGGGGTAGGCGGGACAGAGGCCATACATCCCCATCACTACAGTGTAACCAAAATTTACCCAGTTGAGAAAACTGGCGGGTATTGGCTGGAAAAGTGGCGTCTGGTACCCTCTTGTGAGTGTGGTTCAGAAATACAACTGTTTGTTCTGCTTTCCACTTTGAATGAGCACGGTCCATTGTTGGGAAGGAGCCCTGCTGTGCAGTGGTGAGGCCGGCTGCTCCCCGAAACCCTGTGGGCTTAGTTTTACTCTCTCCTGTCTCGTGTTAAGTGCCATCTGGTCCGACTCATAGTATAGGGTTTCCAAGGGGCAGCTGGTGAATTGGAGCCGCTGGCCTTGCGGTCCAGTGCAGTCCCCCCCAGCGCCACTCCACAGGAGCGCTGTAAGTTAGAATCAACTTCATGGCAAAGGGTTTGGTTTTGGGTATTCTGGGTTTTTGTTTTGTTTTTGTCACTTCAAAATAATTTTGTTTTTTACTCAGTGTTTAAAGTTCTAGGATAAATTTAAAGAAGCTTTCATATACAAGTTTCATTTTCATTCAGCAATCTTCCATTAATGCTCCAAGATTATTAAGATGGCACCTTGACATGCCCTTCTGAGGCATTCACTTGGGGGGGCGGAGGGGAGGGGTTTGGAATTACCTTACCAGTTTGGGAGGTTTCTGTTCAAAAGATACTTAGATTTATTCCTGGAAGTATTTCTATTCCTGTCTAGGGGCCTCCGCGTTTCCTGTTGATTCACTTGGTCACTGTTCATCTCTGTCCCAACAGGAAGCAGAAATGTTGCGTTCCATCTCCTTCCATCCCTCTGGGGACTTCATACTTGTCGGGACCCAACACCCTACTTTGCGGCTTTACGATATCAACACATTTCAGTGTTTCGTCTCATGTAATCCTCAAGACCAGCACACAGACGCCATATGCTCTGTGAGCTACAACCCAAGTGCCAACATGTATGTTACTGGGAGCAAGGACGGCTGCATCAAACTATGGGATGGTGTGTCCAATCGCTGCATCACAACCTTTGAGAAGGCCCATGATGGTGCGGAAGTTTGTTCTGCCATCTTCTCCAAAAATTCCAAATACATTCTCTCCAGCGGAAAAGACTCTGTAGCTAAGCTCTGGGAAATATCGACAGGACGAACGCTGGTCAGATACACAGGTATGCGACTCCTTCGGTGTCGTGTAGTACTTCCTGGTTTGCAGTGGGTAGTAGACAGACTTGGTTTGCCTACTTTGCTCTCTGCAGACGTCACAGCTCAGCGTGGATTGGGTCCCATGCAAGAGCACCAAAGAACCTGGCAGGCCATGTGTAGATTGTTGTCTGCTCATAGAAATGGGGCAAAGTCCTGAGAAAGCCTCAGTCTGTGCACCCAGAAAGTTCATGGTTCAGGAAAGAAGGGCCAAAAGGGTAGCTGTTAGCCTGTTTCTAAGAGGAGGGCAGAGGTAGCCCCCCCCAGAATGAAATCACAAGTGTGATTTCACGCCATAAGGAGTAGGGCCCCCAGACAAAAACCCCCGTCTCATTCTGTGTCCTTCATTCCTGGTGGTCATGGTGAGAGTGCCCAGACTTCTCTGCTGAAGTCTAGTTACTGATCCTCTCACTAGCACTCAGTGTTCACATCATGTGATCGGCGACGGAGTGGCTGAAATTGTCGTGTCTTATTAGACTGCTCCTTTTTAGCAGCAAATTAAAATAAAAAACCCTTCAGGAAGCTTCAGCATTGCTTCCTTTCCTCTGTTGTAAGGTGTGTTTTCTGTCATACGCAGAAACCACCATGTCCGTCCCTCACCGAGCTCATAGCACTGTCGTAAAAGACGCTGCCGTGCTGACCCTGCCGTGTTGCCATTTGAGTGAAGAAAATGGAAGGGTCTGTGGCATGGGAACCACTAGATTGCAGTATAACCCACCTCTGATTTTCCCATGATTGCTGCTTGCTACCATGGTGGCCTGGTGTGGAGCTGTAGGACAAGCACACAATTGACAGTTCAAACCTACCAGCCAGCCACTCCTTGAAAACCCTGTACAGGCTTGCTGTGATTCAGAGCCAACTCACCAACACTTAACAACAGCAGCTTGCCAGCAGACCAGCCATCATACGCTGGAGTTCTTTTGTTGTTTCCGGTCACATGTCCTCTCAGCCCACCTGGATCAGTGTTTTCCTTTTAACCTGTAGTTAGATTTCAAGGGCTTCTTGAAATAAGGAAAAGAACTTTTAAGAGAATGTTAGGAATTAAAACCCTAAACAATGCTGACTTGGAGGGCAAATATGTCTAGCATATATAATTGACAAGGAGTCCTGGTGACGCAGTGGCTAAGCACTCCCCCGGCTAACCAGAAGGTCACTATGCAAACCCACTGTCTGCTCTGGAGGAAAATAATGTTGCAGTCTGCTTCCATTAAGATCACAGCATTGGAAACCCCTAAAGAGGCCTTTAAATAAGTAAGAGGAAGATGAGCCTGGATTTGACAGAAAAATGAGTCAAAGGGTAGTCATTTATTTTGCAAAAGGAAATAAAGTGGTTGGTATTATTTGTTGATATATTGGTGATGCTGTTGGTAAGTCCCGGCAACTTGATTCCAACTCATACAAATGAAGAAGATTGATAATGCCTGGTACTGATGAGAAGTGGGGAAATGATACATATTCTATTGATGGGCGCATCCGCTGTAAAACATTTCTAAGGGACCATTCATTGTCGTTTACCAAAACTTAAAATCCCACCAGATCCTGTCTTAGAAAACCAACCTAAGACAATCAGACAAATGTGTGCACATTAAAGAATGCTCACCGCAGTGTTATCTAGAGTGTCCAGGAATTAGCAATGTAAACGTCCATGAAAGATCATCGTGTAAATGTTCCGACAGGACGCAGCTTTTAGGACTCAGTAACCAGAGCAGCCTTGACTGAGCACGTCTTCTGCCGTACACGTCTTATTGTCACTGTTGCCATCCAGTAGGTGCTGACTCGTGGTGGCCCCCTGTGTGTGTATAGTAGGTGCTGACTCATGGCCCCGTGTGTGTGTACAGTAGGTGCTGACTTGTGGCCCTGTGTGTGTTTGTGTGTGTGTATACAGTAGGTGCTGACTCGTGGCCGTGTGCATGTGTGTGTGTATACAGTAGATGCTGACTCATGGCCCCGTGTGTGTGTACACAGTAGGTGCTGACTTGTGTTGGCCCTGTGTGTGTACAGTTGGTGCTGACTCGTGGTGGCCCCGTGTGTATGCAGTAGGTGCTGA